TGGGGTGCACTCATATCCTAGATCAGTGCGAATCCCTGCTGGCTTGGCCTACTCAGGTCTACTTGAGCGTTATCGCCCTGTTGCCCAAACATATTGAGTGTGATCGTCCGAATTGTAAGTGCCCCACGCTGTATAGGGTCTACTGTGAAGCTAGGAACCAATTTTTGGATAGATGGAACCATGACGGGTGCAATTTTTGGGGCACTGCTATTGTAGGCTCCAGTGCGCTCCAGGCTGTTTTACTCCGCGAGCCTGGCCACGAACTAGCTCGGATGATGGGCCTCTGCTCCGTGGGCGCGCACTGGGACCTGAAGCGATTTTTAAAATTCTGTCCAGCCCCATCGGCTGGTGAGCTTGGCAGTCAATATGAACTCGTGGTCCATCCGCTGCTACTACCATTGTGGTGTTGATAGATTTGAAGGCCATTGCCCACAGTCCTGTATATTGTTCCTTCTTCCAAATGGAGTTCACGTCCGCTTCGCTGAAGGGGCTTTCCAGCACGCCCTCTGGCGCGTGCTCGTGGAAGTTTGCAGCGACCTGTCATGGAGCGGGGCTGCCAAACACTATGAAGGATCAGGGTTGGGTGGAGGAGTTGATATTACGGTTCCCAGGGCCTTTTCTGAGGAAGCTGGAGAAAGAGGGCTCCTTTGAGGCCTCGGGAATCCTTCGGAATGTTCTGACTGCTAGGTTTTGGACTGAAGAACGATTGTTTTTGGCTGGATATGATTCTGCCACTGGTGGTCTCTGTCCCAGGTGCGGCTACGAGGCCGAGAGTGCGACCCACCGCTTTTGGCGGTGCCCGCGCAATGATGAGATCCCAGGTGACGCGATCGCGAGATCGGATTGTTTAAAGTCTGAGGCCGTCGCTTCCACTGACACCTGTTGCTTTTGGTCACGAGGGCCCCCACCTCCCGGGATGAGCATTGGGCATCTTCCTGAACCCCGTCGCCTCCATTGGGAATGGGGCCCCTTACGTGGGGGAGCTACGGTCTCAGGAGGCACATGGGGGATCGACGGCTCTGGAGGTAAATATCACAAAGATCGGCGTTTGCGTCGGTGTGGTTGGGCCATCGTCCACTTAGGTCCAGCTGGTCTGTTTGGCGGAGTTGCGAGTGGCACATTACCAACTAAGTTGCAGTCCGCTGGCCGGGCTGCGCTTTTTGCACTCATTCAACTGGCTCGTAGAACAGTTGGACATGTACGAGTTTGTTGCGACTGTATGCCTGTGGTCCGCGGGTCCCGGCGTCCCCTTCGTGATAAAACTATGTCGTCTATGCTTGACTTATGGTGTGAATATCATGATGTCCTGGGGTCCCGAGGCGGCGCGACACAGGTTCTTTGGACTAAAGGTCACCCCACCCAGGCTCAGATGTCTAGTATGTGTATTGGTGAATGCGAATCCTATCTTGATAAATCTGCTGATTTCTTTGAGGGGAAGGCCGCAGAGGCTGACCAGGTGTCAGACGACCAGGCCCGCACCACGTTCGCGTGCGACGAAAAGGGCTTTCAAGGTTTTAGGCCGTCTGCTTGCTGTCCAGAGAGAAGTTGTGTTCACCTCCGATCTCGAATGTGTCAATCGAGCGGCTCGCGTGCGTTGCTCGAGTCGTTCGCTTGACCAAAGATTATGTAGGCTTCGGGATGCAGGGCACCAGTGTTTGGTCCGCACGGCTATCTTTAAGTGTGTTCACTGCTTGCGCAGTTTCAGTCGAAGAGGAGCTCTTTCAGAGTTCTGGCCGTGCGCCTGCAAACCCCGAGCCGAGATTCAGCAGAGAATTCTGTCTCTTCCTCCGAGACAGCGGGCACCTGATCCGCACCGAGGGGAGCCTTCTCCTCCTCCTGATGACTTGGGGCCCCGACGGGCGGGAGTGGGTGGGGGTCTGGATCATCCTGTGGCCGAACAATGTCATCTCACACACCACCTGTCCACATACCGTGGTGTGTTATTTTGTACAACCTGCGGTTGCAACTGTGTAGAGAACTCGCGCTCCCTGAAAGAGGAGTGCAATCCCCCACCAGAGCGGGGCGTGATGTTCTCAGCAGGTTGAAGAGGGGACTTCCACCTAAATCTGGTGGAAGTTCCCCTGATGCGTGAATTTGTTTTGCGTACCCCGCCCAGCAGCAGGTCACCACGCGCAGAGGTAGAATAGAATAGAAACTCCTCCTCTTCTTCACATGTGCATGAGCCAGGGCACGCGTGCCACTCGTTTTCGTGGTTCGTCGTCGTCCCCCTGGCTCTGGCCTGCTTCCCCTGGCCCCCTCGCCCCCGTCCGTTTGCCCTGGCCCTGAACCCAGCCTTCCTCCTTGACTCTGGCGCCCCCTGGCCCTGGCCCCAGCCCCCCTCGCCCCGGCCCTTTTTTTGGTGGTTCGTGGTTTGTCGTCGTCCCCCTGGCTGTGGCCCGCTTCCCCTCGCCCCCGTCCCCCTGGCTGTGGCCCGCCCCCCCTCGCCCCCTCGCCCAAACCGGACCTTTGGCCTTTGGTCCGAGCCCCAGCCCTCTGGCCCTGACTGAACTCAGCTTGTTTCCTGGCCTTGGCCCCACTCGCCCCGACCCTGCCTGGCCTTCGCCCCAGCCCTCCTCGTCCCGGACCGTGTATTTTCGTGGTTCGAACCCGGATCTCTGGCCCCTGGTCCGAGCTTCAGTCCCCCTGCCCTGGCCCTGGATCCCCACTTGCCCCGACCCTGGCCTTGGCCCCAGCCCTCCTCGTCCCGGACCCTTTAGTTTCGTGGTTCCGTCCCCCTGGCTCTGGCCCCCCATCCCTTGGCCCTTTCGACCCCGCATGCCCCTCCTCCTCCTCTTTCTCTCTTCAAATGTGCAAGAGACAGGGCACGCGTGCCACTTGTGACATTGCCCTTCCTCCCATCCCAGAACTCCGACGTTGTGATTTGTTCGCAACGTCACCCCCCAGAGGTCTGTACCCACCCGTTCCCCGTGACTGGTTTTTCAGCTTGTGTCCCTTTTTGACGGTCCCGGGGCCCAGTGAGGCGCTTCTGAGGCCGAAATCCAAAAACATCCCGTCGTTATTCGATGTTCCCGCAACGAGAAGAGGTGGGAGTCCTTCTTCCTTCCCTACGTCGCCGCTTGGTCCTATCTTGACCTGGCTCTGTCCCAGAGACTGCCGCCGTCCGTGGTGTGCTTGCCTCTCCGTCGCCGCCGATCTCTGTCGATTGTGCCCCCTCAACACAGCTGGCCGCCCTCTCGACTCTGGTGGCTTTTGCTTTCCGCCGTCGCCACCATATTCTTCGTCTGGGGGTGTGGGCCTCCTCCGAATGTCGCGTTGAGTGGACATAAGCTGTACAGTTGTTGTGTTCTTCACCCTCCTCCTCCACCTGCCTCCTCTTCCTCCTTTTTCTCTTCGTCCTCCTCGTTCCCCTCGTTTCAGCACGATGCAATTTCTCTTTCGTGCTCGGACGGGGCGACTGCTGTTGTGTGCTTGAGTTGTAGGGCCCAGTCAGGCCACGGTCAAGTCAGGAACCTCGCTCACAGCTTCAATGTGTTTCCCACAAGCGCGGCAGCTTGTTTTGCCTGGCAACAGATCCTCAATGGAATTGATCCGAAGTTATCTGGGATTTTCTGTGGAAGTCAGCTCTGGTCCAAGGAGACTTGCACATCTGCTTGAAATTTGTCCAGGACCCCCGATTGTGTTGCCTCCATGGGCATCCAGATTTTTCCACTGAGGTGAAGGGCCTGCGCCTGCAAACGAAATCCTCTTCCCGCCTGCCTCCTCCGCCCCTGCCTCTCCCCCATCCCTCGCTCCTCCCTCCCTCCCCTTGTTCCCAAGGCTCTCCCTCCCCCCGCCCCGCCTGCCCCGGGCTGTTCTTGACCCTGGTGCTCCCGAAGGAAGGGGAGGAAATCATCCGCGTATATAGTCTTTTGGAGGTTCGCGCGGATTCCTCGGGTCGGGTCCAGGACTCCCCTGGCGGCGCCTCCAGCGCCGCCCGTGGGGCGCCCCGCACGACAAAGGGGGGTCACCGCCGATCCAAGACATCTGCGCGGACCTCTGACAAGTTATGTTTATGGTGCTGTTTCTTCTTCTGTGCTTGCCCTCCGTCGCAGTACATGTTCCTGGGTCAGTCGTGTTTCATGCGCCACCGTTAACAGGCCTGTCTCGTGTGTCTGCTTAGGGTGCACGCGCCAGCGTCATTGGGTGGACGCCTCACCGCGATGCACGTCCTCACTCGTCGCCTGTTAGCGCGCAAGTATCAACAACTGCACCTTCCCAGCCAGAGAGGAAGTTGGAAGCCAACCTGACACCATAGGTTCGCGTCTGGCCTACTTGGCCTCTGCGGATAGTGCCCGTCGAAGAAGCTCCCTCGCACGAGTGTCTGCCGTGGGCCAGAGGTGGCCCCCCCCACACACGGCGCAGAGGTGGGACATGTCCTGCAACTCGCAGAAGACAGCGATGGGGAGCCCCACGCGCCGCACCTTGGGCCACGTCGTATCGTACCCTCCCACTACCGCTGCCGACGCAGATCCCAATCCGCAGGCAGTTGGCCTCGAAACCCTTCGTGACAAAGATCCTCCGGGAACGCTTCGGACATGGTCGGTGTGTTGTCCACCCCAGGGAAAAAACAGGTTCCAGGCTTGTGGTAGCAGGCCGCGGACTCAGAGTTTGCTGTCTCTGTCTGCTCCAGCTGAGCGCGCGCCTCAGTGGTGAGTACCTCCCCCGAGCGGCGGATAGAGCAGGATGATCGGCACGTCCAGGTTCGGCGATGGGCAGTTTCCTCCTGCTGATCGCAGCGAGGATTCGCCCCGTCGATGTTGAGGATCCTATCGGTCCTCAGCCTGCTGGCGAGGACAGATGGCGCCGATGGAGATGGCCAACATCCCAACAGCGGGCCGTAGACCTTGATGTACCTTCTCAAGGTTGACCTGGGGCAGCATCTTGTACGAGCTGCTCGGATGTAGAATCGTGAGATAGTGCGTGTTCGTTCCAGTGGCCCTCGCTTCACTCTCCCAAAGGAGCTGCTGTTGAAATTCCTCACCCGACTCTGTGCTACCACTCCGTCTCCTCGTGTGGCGCAATTTTCAGGGGCTAGGGCACGGTGCAGAGGAGACCCCATCTAGTGAGTTGCGCTGTGCGCTCCTCCTCATCTCTGGTTGTTTGAGCGAGGCTTCCGTCCAGGCTTTGGCTTATATGGGCGCCACGTGGCAGCAGACTGCAGGGCACAGCGTGCTTCCTTTGCTCTTCCTGCCGCCCTCCTGGCTCGAGCCGCCTCGCTGTCAGGCGAGGCCCAGCAGCTGGCACCCCGAAATACCCTCAGCGGTCCGGCAGGTCACAGTCCGCAGGGAGCAGCCAGAGATGCTGACGCGTGCTTGCCTCTTCGCCGTGGCGTTGCCGTTCCTCGTCGATGCCGGCTGGTTCGGGCCGCCCCAGTACGTACAGGATGCCTGCAAGCGGTGACGCCGGGACAAAGCCTCTCCCGCGAGAGGCAGCCAAATCCAGGGTTTTCTCCATCGGGCACCCTTTGCCGAGAGCTTTTCGGTCCAAGCATATGACTGTACTTCGCCGCTTGTGGCCTGAGACATGTGAAAAGCATAAGAGATGCAGCCCGTGTGAGAGGGCACCTTTTTGACAGAGAGGTATTGTCCCGAGCTCAGGTGGTGCGAGGAAGCATCGCAGGATGCTGATGCCAGCGACGCCTGCCAGAGGTGCAACGCAGGGCCAGAGCAGAACCCGTCCGCCACCGAGCGGTCCGGCTACTGCGATCGCGAGATCACGTTCCCACGGCACTACCCGAAGCTGTGGCTCGAGGAGCCGAGCTGGCAGGGCAAAATGCAGAAGGTCGAGGGCAAGACGCGCTGCTGGTGCGACACCGGCTGCCCCGTGTACAAAGCGAAGTCCGCGCTCTTCTGCTGGAACGAGTGCTCCGCGGTTTGTGGGGCACAGTCGCTGCTGCCGCTCACGCTGGTATAGCGATGCCGCCGGCAGCTTACGGTCAAGAACTTCTGCTCAGCTTATCGCGCCGTTGGTTCTGCAGCCCACCCAGCCTGGGCGCGACATGCTATCCTCGTCCCAGCCCCCGAGCGTTAACGTCCCGAACCTTTCCTAGCCTCCCGCCCCGCGGAGCTGAGCGACACGCGATCAGCTTGCAGGACAAAGCGTTTCGCCAGGGCCGCCCCCGCGACACGCTAAGCAAGAGTTCCTGACCATAGTGCTCTGACCAGCGGACTGCGCGTGCTGGATGAACGGCAGCGCGATTTTCCTGCTTCTTCGTCCCACAGCGCGGAGGCAGCACACCTTGTCGTAATGGCTGCCCGCCAGCCTGTATGTCCAATTGTCCACTGCGCAGAGGACCCCAAGTCGAGCGGAGCGACCCAGCGCGCCGCGAGAGAGCGGGTGGGCAGGCTGTGTCAGACGAAGAGGGGCCGTGGCATCGGTAGCGGAAGCCAGGAGGACCAGGGATTGAGAAGGGGCCGCAGTCAAAGAAGAGCACATCAGCACAAGCATGATTCGTTCAATATCTCAGGATGGGTTGGAAGCCAGGTTGTTGTCAGGGACGGAGCCCTGGGAGGAGTGGGACGGCGTTTGTCTTCGTGTGATCCTTGTGCTTTCCCAGGTACTGCCGCACTGACGCAACAGGTTCCTCTTATCTTGGAAAAGTGGTCTAGCAAAATACGGTCCAATATGGGCCCACATGGGCCCAGGATGACCCCAAGACAACCACAAGACGGCCTCTCAACGACCCAGCATGATATCACACCTACGGTCTTCGATGCATTTTGGCCTACCCGCCTCTGTGGCTTCCGACGGCTCCAGGAGGCCCGTCTGAGAGGGCGGCCTGGAACGGCCCCAAAGGGGCTTCAAGACCGCCCCAAGACTGCCCAGGAGGGCCTTCGGCGCGTCTCCAGACGACGCTGGGATGCCTGAGACCGCACCAAGTCGGCTTGCGACGGTCCAAGAGGGCCCTCAAATTGCTTCCAACTCGCTTCAAGAGCAACCCCCAAAGTCTACCCAAATGCCCCAATACACTAAACGACGGCTGGAGTAGCACGGCGACGGTCAGAGCATATATACCATCCCCAAGGCGCATTGAAGAAGCCCGCCGCAGTCGCATATGTTCACACATTACACAACGAACCCGCCGCAGACGCAGATGTTCCGTCAAAGCAATGTGGGTGGGTCGCGCTTGGGTCGCGGGTCGGTCGCAGGCGGGTCGCTGGCCTATCGCGGTTGGGTCGTGGGCGGGCCATGACGGGCCGCGGACAAGGACGACGACAGAAGAACGACACAACAAAAACATGAATTATGTTGAGTTTGTTCATTCTTCGTTGCTCGCGTGCCATTCCGCAAGTATACACCAAACCCTCGATACCCGCCATCTTCGTTTTTGATCGTGCCCCCTTTTGGGGGTATACCTTCCTTGCATGCCACGTGTCATTGGCTCGGCCCGAAATTAGAAGCGGAGGGGACAAGAGAAAGCGAGAGAGCGAGGGAGGGAAGAGGAAACGACAAGGGATGGGGGCAAGATGAAGGGAGGAGCACTGAGGACGAATGGGATTCAGCCGGAGGGGGAAGATAGAGGAGCAAGAAAATTTGGCGAGCGGGCCCTACCGGGCGGGTCGGGCAGGCGGGCCCTAATGGGCGGGTCGGCGGGGCATTGAAGCGCATTGCGAACATTGCGAGGAAGTCTCAGGCGAGAACACAATTCCTGAGTGCATTGTGAGGGAGTCTCGTGCGAGAGCGCGATTCATGGGCGTTACGAGCGTGGCGCTTGAGTAAGTTTACAAGGAGGCCCCGAGCAAGAGCGCGACTCCGGGGTAAAGTGCACGGAGGGTTCGATCGAAAGCGCGGTTCCTGAGTGAATTGGGAGGTAGCATCAAGCGGGAGCCGTTGAATTATCATGTCTAAAGAATAATGTTGATCCCCCCCCTCCGGGGCATATTGTGTTGTTTCAAATGAAGAGCCCTTCCCGGGGCTCGCACCTTGTTTTTCCCGGAAAGGGCGTAGGGGGCGTAGGCCCAGGGTTCTCTTTTAGTAGTTTTGTTACCAAAGGCTGGGTCTTTATTTGTGACGGGCCGGCGAATTTATTTGCAATAAATAACAAGGTCGCGTCGGGCCAGCGAATGCAATGTTGCGGATGTCCCGAGCGAAACACTGTTTTTTTGAAATTCCGATCGGTAAAACACAGGGTGCGGGACACATTTGGGTCAGGGGCACGAATCCGTATGTTTTTGCGTGTGTTCCTATAGACTGGCCCTCTCCAGTGGCACGAATCCGTGTGTGTGTGTGTTTGTGTGTGTGTGTGTTACAGATGTTCCTATAGATTGGCCCTCTCCAGAGGAGGCCCCTCGATGGCCCATGGGTTTCCCGAGCAAGGACCACGTGTTTTAACATGTCCAGGCCACTCAGGGGTGTATCTAACATGGGTGCCTCGAGCTGGCACCACGTGCTTTTACGTGTCCAGGCCACACAGGGGGATATCTAACATGGTTGTCCCGAGCAAGGACCACGTATTTAAACGTGTCCATGCCACCCAGGGGTGGATCTAACATGGTTGGCCAGAGTTGGCACCACGTGTTTGTACGTGTCCAGGCCACCCAGGGGGGCATCTAACATGGCTGTCCCGAGCAAGGACCACGGGTTTTAACGTGTCCAGGCCACCCAGGGGTGTATCTAACAGGGTTGCCCAGGGCTGGATCCATGTGTTTACGTGTCCAGGCTGCCCAGGGGGTATCTAACATGGCGTCGGGCCCAACGCCGAATAATCAGGAAACGCGGGGGGCCGAACAGCGCTACCCGAACACATATCCCAATACAGAAACGTTAGGTTTTCTTGCTCTGGACAGGGGGTGGCGCTTTGGGGGCCTCTCCAGGGAAGGCACTGCGAGGACGTCTCGAGCGGGAGTGCGAATTCAGCGGATCCAGGCCACGCAGGGAGGTATCTAACTTGGTTGTCCCGAGCTGGAACCACGTGTGTTTGCATGTCCAGGCAACCCAGGGGGGTATCTAACATGGTTGCCCGCCCCAGGGCTGGGGAAGCATGACAACGCATGGGTTCCTAACGCCCCATGGTGGGAGAAGCGTGCAAACACATGGGTTCTTAACGCCTTGGGGCGGGACAAGCGTGAAAACGCATGGGTTCCTAACCCCACAGGGCGGGAGAAGCGTGAAACCATATGATTCCTAACACCACAGGGCGGAGGCCCAGGGTTCTCTTTTGGATGTTTACCCCCAGGGACGATTTGAAGAGGGCGGGCGAGTTTCCGCTCGATAAGAAATAGGTAAAGTCATATCCTGCGTGGAAGCAATGCGTTTCGCGCATGCACGCTCAAGACAACTGGACGGCCCATGTAGGATCCGCGATAAATGACGAGGTCTGGTGACCTCCGTTTCCCCTTTATGGAAAATTGTGTGCGGATCGTGTTTCGCAGAATCTTCGATCGAGAACGTTGTCTGCAGACCAAACAAATACACCAAAGAATATGGACATTTGGACTTCCTGCGTGCCCGCTCGAGGATGGCGCGTCCTGCGTGCAGGACTCCCGAGACTGTCTCGAGCGAAACGCTCCTCTTCCAGAAGCTGAAGGGCCTGGGCCCTCCAGGAGGCCGCCAGAGGCCCCTAGGAGTCCGCAGGAGGCCCGGAGACCCCAAGAGGCCCCAAGGGGCCCCAAGAGGCTCCAGGAGGCTTTGAAGCTCCCGGGATCTTCAGGAGGCCCCAGGGAGCTCCAGAAAGCACCAGAAAGCTCCAGGAGACCCCAGAGGGCCCCAGGAGGCCCCAAGAGGCCCCAAGAGGCTTCTGGGAGCGCGGAAGCATTGTTATTTGCCAGGGATCGTGGCCATGGGAGCGCGGACGGCTTGTCATTGACAATGTATCATGGTTCTGGGGGAACGGACGCCGCGTACTTTAGGAGGGATCCTGGCCCCGGGGGGCGCGGACACAGCGTCATTTACAAGGAATCGTGGCCCTGGGAGTGCGGACGCCGCGTGATTTTCAATGGATCGCGGCCCTGGGATCGCGGACGCGGCGTAATTCATTGTGCAATTTACACGGGATTCTTCCTTTGGGGGTGTGGACGCAGCGTACTGTACGAGGAATGCTGGCCCCGGGCACGTGACTCCCGTGTCATTGACGAGGCATCGTGGCCTTGGGCGCGCGGACGCAGCGCAATTCAGAAGGGGATCGTGGCCCCAGGGAGAGCGAACGCAGTCCAGTTCACGAGGGGCCGTGGCCTTGGAGCGTGAATCCTGCGTAATTTCTGGCGGATCGTTGCCCTCGGGACGCGAATCAAGTGCAGTCTTCGAGTGACCCTGGCCCTGAGAGCGTGACTCCCGGGTAATGTGCGAGGGATCGCGGCCCTGGGAGCGAACGCGGACGCCGCGTGATTTACGATGGATCGTTGTCTTTGGAGCGCGGACGCAGAGCAGTTTACGAGTGATCGTGGCCAAGGGAGAGCGGACGCAGCAGAATTTACGAGAGATCGTGGCCTTGGGAGCCTGGTCCCGTCGTCATGGCTTCGTGCATGGGTCCGCCATGCGTTGCCCCTTTCTGATTCCACGGTGTCTGGGGTGCAGGGCGGGGGGGGAGGCAAGCCGCGTTTTGTGAAGCAGGACGAGGGGCTTGCCTCGGAGCGCAGCCCCGCCGTAATGCCTTGGTTTCTGGGTCTGTCGCGTGTGGCCTCTTTCTGGGTCCGCGGGGTCTGGGGTAGCGATGGTCTGGGGGAGCGGGAGACGGGGGGTCTGTCCTCGTCCCCCACGCGGCACGTTCCGTGGCACGCCCATCGGCACGTTCCGTAGCGCGTGCCCTCGGCACGTCCCGCGGTGCGTCACCATGGCACGTCCCCTGGCGCGTCTCTTGGGACGTTCCGCGGCGCGTCCCCCTGGCATGTCCCTCTGGCATCGCCCAGTTGCACATGCAATTGAGGTCCTTAGAAGCGGTTCCATGCCTCGCAGTTCTCAATCCCTTTCCAGGTTCGTGGGTCGATCATGTTCCCCGTTGGGCCCCAGAGCAATGAAAAATGTACCCGGAGCGAAAAGCTACCCCCGGGTTGAAACAGTCGGGCTTTTGAGGCCGCGGATTGAATTACGCTTCCGAAGAAAACCACATACTTATAAGATGTCTGGCGTGATGCTGGCTGACGTGAAACTTGCGAGAGTGATGCTGGTGGCCGTTGCTTCGCCGATACCCTTGGTGGCGTTGGTCAAGCCTTGGGGGACTGACGCGCCGTGCGAACAACAGCCTGAGCCATGGCGACCACGGAAGAGAGCTCGGCTGTAGGTAGGCAGGCGGACGGCGCACGAGTCCCGACGCGGTGGACAGGCGGACGGCGCACGCCGCGGTGAAGGACCACCCCCTGCGCATCCCTTATGGTGTGCAGAAAATCGCTTGCTGTACATGGACGGCTGGGGCGCACGCGGGCCGCGGTGGGATACCACCCCCTGCGCACCCCCTCTGATGTCGAGAAGGTGCCACGCCTGCCACGCTCTCCGACCCTGGCACGCATACAGGCCGCGGTGGGATACCACCCCCTGTGCACCCCAATCAGGTGTCGAGAAAATGCCACACTTGCCATGCTCTCCGACCCTGGCACGCATGCGGGCCGCGGTGGGACACCACTCCCTGCGCGCCCCCTCTGGTCTTGAGAAAGTGCCACGCTTGCCACGCTGTCCGACTCTGGCACGCATACAGGCCGCGGTGGGATACCACCCCCTGCGCACCCCCTCTGGTGTCGAGAAACTGCCACGCTTGCCACGCTCTCCGACCCTAGCACGCATAGAGGCCGCGCTGGGGGACCACCCCCTGCGCACACCCTCTCTGGTGTCGAGGAACTGCCACGCCTGCCACGCTCTCCGACCCTGGCACGCATAAAGGCCTCGTTGTGGGACCACCCTCTGCGCACCCTCTCTGGTGTCGAGAAAATGCCACGCCTGCCACGCTCTCCGACCCTGGCACGCATAGAGGCCGCGCTGAAAGACTACCCTCTGCACACCCTCCTTGACGTCGAGTAAGTGCCACGCCTGCCATGCTCTCCGACCCTGACACGCATAGAGGCCGCGCGGGAAGACCACCCTTTGCGCGCACCTTCTCTGGTGCCTGGAAAGTGCCACGCTTGCCACGCTGTCCGACTCTGGCACGCATAGAGGCCGCGCTTAGAGACCACCCCCTGCGCACTCCAGCCAGGTGTCTCGAAACTACCACGCCTGCCACGCTGTGCGAGCGTACGACGGATAGCGACCCCACCTCCAGCGCACCCCGTCTGGTGCCAAGAAACTGCCACGCTTGCCACGCGCTGCGAGTGTACGACGGAGGGCGCCCCCACCTCCAGCGCATCACCCGTGGTGTCGAGAAGCCGCCACGCCTGCCACGCTTTGCGAGCGTACGGCGGATAACGCCTTCACCTCCAGCGCACCCCTTGTGGTGTCGAGGAGCTGCCACGCCTGCCACGCTTTTTGCGAGCGTACGGCGGATAACGCCCCCACCTTCCGCGCACCCCCTGCGGTGTCGAGAAGCCGCCACGCCTGCCATGCGTTGCGAGCGTACGGCGGATAGTGGCCCTACCTCCAGCGTGCCCCCATGTGGCGCCGAGAAGCTGCCATGCCTGCCACGCCCGCCACGCTTTGCGAGCGTACGACGGAAAGCGCCCTCACCTCCAGCGCACCCTTTGTGGTTTCGAGAAACTGCCACGCCTGCCGTGCCGTGCGCCTGTGTCAGTGTCTGTGTTGTGTGGTGTGTGTGGTGTGGTGTGTAAGTGTCAGATGTGTGTGCGGCCGTTTGTGTGTGTGTGTGTGCGTGTGTGTGTGTGTGTGTGTGTGTGTCTGTGTGTGTGTGTGTGTGTCTGTGTGTGTCTGTGTGTGTGTGTCTGTGTGTGTGTGTCTGTGTGTGTCTGTGTGTAGGGGAGGAAGGAAGAGCAGGGGAGGAGGGAGGTGAGTGAGGGAGGAGACGCGGGTGCGACGCGGCAGGGAAGAAAACCAGAACCCCACTAAGCATGTGGGGAAACATCAATATCGGCAGTCGGTAGATGCGTGAATCTAGGGTCACCCCTCGGGGCCGCCCTCGGCCAGCTTGGGGGCGGGCTCGGGCCGCTTCGGCGGCCGTCGGGGCGGAGTCGGCGGAGAGGTGGCGACCGTTGACCGATCGCGGAGGTGCACAGAGTGGGGCACGGAGTCGTAGAGGGCTGTGGCTCAGCCAGGCCGCTGAGGGAAGACCATACTTGCGACCCCCGACCATCACATATGAATTTTGCTCGCAAAAGATGGGGTCTAGGATTCTGGTCGTGATTTTTCGCAGCCCTGCATTTTTCGCAACGTCGAATCTCGGGCCCCCCCTTAGTCTCTGGGATGGCTAGTGGTCGTTCTAAGGACTCCAGGGGCTCTACGACGCCCCTCCCTCTACGGCGTTCCCTGTGGGCCTGGCCTGGGGAAAGGTTTGGACACGCCGAAGAGTAGCGTTCCCCTGACCCCTTCGCATAGCGGCAGGCATCGCCCAGGGGGGGAGAGGAGGGCGCGGCGCAGAGGCAGGCCAAAGACAGTGCGATCCACGCGAGCGGTCGAGGAGCGTAGTCGCACAAGGCGGGGGCCACGAAGACGGCTACTCCTAAGTGGTGCCGTTCGTTCATCGCTTCCCTCCGCCGTGGCATCTCCTCGGGGCCGGGTCTGAGGGGATCCCAACTTGGCAGGTAAGGAGGGGCTCGCGAGCGCCCAGGGATGAGTTTCTTGGGGCCCTCGCGGAGCCCTGCGGGCGCCCTTGGGGAGTAGAGCAAGCCCAGGGCACGGAGGCAGCATCTCTCATGCCCGGGAGAGAGGAAGGCCCTCCTCTGGGGGGTCTCGAGTTCTCAATGGCGCCACCCCGCGGAGCCCCAAGACGCCCCCAAGGGGACCCCAAGTAAGTAACCATTTGGGCTCAAGCCGCTCTGGCGGAAGTCCTTGGGTACCGCGCCTTGCTCCCACACTACATACTGCAATCTCACCACGGGCGGCGTATCGCGACTGTACTCCCGCCATGCGTTTGCTGCTCGCGCTGTCAGCTGCCTGCTCATCCACGGCGTTGCATGTTCAAACTGGCCATGGGCAAACTGAACGCTGCCCAGCGGAGGCTACCATCAAGGGCGCACGCTTGCATGAAATGGAGGCTGCTGCCGAGTGCGCGTACACCCAACGCTTGAGCGTGACGCTAGATTCGCTGCGAAAGGACGACGCCGCCTCGTGGCGCAAGAAGCTTGAAGAGACAGGCCATGTCATAGACACGTTCCTGGCGCCTAGGTTTGACTGGGAGGTTGAGTCTGAGCCGTATCCATGGCAGGATTTCGACCTCTCTCCCAGTTTCGTCCTGCGGCGCAATCTTGATGCCGCTGTGCAAAACATCTCGCGGGTCCTTGCGTCAAAGCAGTTTCCGCCCACTTGCCGTCAGCAACGCATGCTTGCAATCAGCGACCCTGCCCGCTTTCTAGGGTCTTTCGCGGCCTCGTTGCTTTGGGATTTCAATATGTTTGAGACGCTATTGGAGCACAAAGGCAGCCCAATCCTGGGCATCTACAACAGTGAGGAATGGGTGCTTGAGCCCCGCGACAGGACCTTCTGTGACGCGCCAGCCCCCAGCGGTACTGGCCCGCAGAATCGCTGGCTTTGTTTCTTCTTACCCCTAACAAATTGTTCAGTCGAGGGGGACGTCTTACCCATGGCTGCCAGTGACCAGAAGGTCGGTCTCCTCGTCAATGCTGCCGATGGCCTTCCATCCACTCCGGCCATAACGTGGCGGGACATGATGGAGCACTATTCATTGAGTGAGAAGCAAGAGGAACAACCAGAGATAGCCGCCGATGATCTCGGGCAGATGGGAGGATTCATCGATACGTTGCATGCGCATCTCGGGAAGGATGAAGAAGGCCTGGGTGCAGTCCAGGCGTTTGAGCAGCCCGCGATGCGGGCAGCCTTCCTGGCACGAAACGTGTTGTACCGTCGAAACTATCGTCTCCGCTCCCTTGTTGCACAGGAGGTGGCAAAACACCCGAAGCTTGAAGAGGTTGTTGAGGGCAAGACAGATTGCATCGGCGTGCACATGCGCCGGGGTGACAAGGTGGACGACGCCTATTATCGAAGGCGCCTATGGCGAATCACCGCCGCCCCCTCGCCCTTTCGGAAGCGCCTATGTGGCCGAACGTTGTGGCCAGAGGCCTGCCAAGCTATCGGACCTGTGTTCCCCGAATCGGTTTGGAAAGCATTCGAGGAACACGGTGGGGGAGGAGGAAGGGGAGGAGCGGGAGGGAGAAGGAGAAGGGAGGAGGAGGCCTCTCGGGAGCCTCTTGGGCTACTCTAGGGTTTTATTTGACCATCTTTGCGGTCTTGGAGGCATATTGGGCCGTCTTGGAGGCATCTTGGGGGGCGAAGCTATCGGACCATGTGTTCCCCGAGTCGGTTTGGAAAGCCTTCGGGGAACACGTGGGGGAGGAAGAGGAAAAGAGGAGGAGAAGGAGGAAAAATGAGAAGGGGGAGGATGCCTCTTCGGAGCCTCTTGAGGCACTCTTGGGCTCGATCGGGCCATCTTGGGACCGTCTTGGAGGCCGTGTTGGTGCTATCTTGGGCTCTCTTGGAGCTTCTTGACGGCCTCTTGGGGCCTTTTTGGGACTTCTCGGGGGCCTCTTTGGCCGTTTTAGGGCGTTCCTGGCCCGTCTGACGCCGTCGGGAACGTCTTGGGGGCCTCTCTGAACCAGCTTTGGGCCCTCTTGGGGCGCTTTGGGGCCGTCTTGGAGGCCATCTTGGGCGTCTCCCCTGGGGGCCGTCTTGGGGGCCTCTTGGGCCGTAAGGAGCCCTCTTGGAGACCTCTGGGGCGATCTCGGGGCGAATGCCGAGACGATGCAAATTTCAAAATCCTTCAAAATCTAAGGACAACCAATGAATTTGGCCTCTTCGGGCCATCCGGGAGGACCTCTTGGAGGCCTCTTCGGCCGTCTTGGAGGCATTTTGGAGGCTTCTTGGAGCCTTCTTGGGCGAACTTGGGGGTTATCTTGGACTCTCTTAGGCCGTCTTGGAGGCCGTCTTGGACCCTCTTCGGCGGACTTGGAGGCCATCTTGGACAATCTTGGAGGCCATCTTGGGCCAACATGGCCATCTTGGAGGCCATCCGGAGCCGTCTTGGAGGATTTGGGGGGGGAATTTAGCTCCGTGGCAATCCTCCCGGGACCCCGGCGGGACGCGCCAGAGCCCCACGGGGAGTTCTTTTCTGGAAAAACCCAAAGCGGTAGGATCTGGCACGCCAGGCACCCTTTTGATGAATCAAAAGGGGGCGGGGCGGCGGATCGAAGACGCCTACGGCGAATCACCGCCGCCCCCTGCCTTCGTGGAAGCGCCTATGTGGCCGAAAGTTGGGTTAGAGCTTGGCCAAACTATCGGACCATGTGTTCCCCAAGTTTGTTTGGAATGCCTTCGGGGAACACGTGGTCGAGGAAGAGGAGGATAAGGAGGAAAAAAGAGAAGGGGGGAGGAGGCCTCTTCGGAGCCTCTTGAGGCACTCTTGGGCTCGATTGGGCCATCTTGGCGGTCTTGGAGGCATCCTGGGGCCGCCTTAGAGGCCACATTGGGGCCATCTTGGGCTCTCTTGGGGCCTCTTGGGTGTCTCTAGGGGGCCTCTGGGGCGCCTCTTGGGGGCCTCTTTGGCCGTCTTGGGTTTTTCTGAACCAACTTGGGGCCCTCTTGGGGCGCTTCAGGGCCGTCTTGGAGGCCACCTTGGGCGTCTTGGAGGCCTCTTAGGCCGTCTTTGGGCCCTCTTGGGGCCGTCTTGGGGACGTCTTGGGCCGTCCTGGGACCATCTTGGAGGCCTCTTTGGCGCTCTTGGGGCGATCTTGATGGCCTCTTGGACCGTCTTGGGCCGTCGGAGGACCGAAAAGCAGCAGATTCCAAAATCTCTCAAAAGCCGAAAGAAACTATATGAATGTCGCTTTTTGGTGACCTCTCTTGGCACGTTTTGGCGGCCTCTTGGGGGCCTCTGGGGCCGTCTTGGGCCTTCTTGAGGCCATCTTGGGCAATCTTGAGTGCATACTGGGCAGTTTTTGGAAACATCTCGAATCAATGTTTGGTTTTCTTGGGGCCATCTTGGCCGTCTTGGAGGCCACCTTGGGCGTCTTGGAGGCCTCTTGGGCAGTCTTCGGAACGTCTTGGGGGCCTCTTGGGCCGTCTTGGGGCCATTCTGGAGGCCTCTTGGGCGCTCTTGGGGCGATCTTGCTGGCCTCTTGGATCGTCTTGGGCCGTCGGAGGCCGCTCCAACATCTTTGAAAAACCAACGGAAAATCACGGATTGTGGTTTCTTCAGGCCCTCCTGGAGGATCTCGCCTCTTGGGCAGTCTTGGAGGCCTCTTGGGGGCCTCTTGGGCCATCTTGGGCCATCTTGAGGCCATCTTAGGCCGTCTTGGATGCATCTTGGGCCGTCTTGGAGGCATTCGGGAGCCATCTTAGCCGTCTTGGAGGCTATCGTGGCCTTCTTGGAGGCCTCTTGGTGCCCTCTTGGGGCCGTCTTGGGGGCCTCTTGGGCCGTCATGGGGCCATCTTGGAGGCCTCGTGGGCGATCTTGGGGGGATCTTGGGGGCCTCTTGGGCCGTCTTGAGCTGTCGGAATGCCGAGAAGAAGCAAATGCCAAAATCTGTCAAAGCCGTAAGGAAAATCAATGACTTTTGCCTCTTCGGGCCCTCCTGGAGGACCTCTTGGGGCACTTTTGGGGCCTGCCGGGAACTTCCTGGGAGCCTTTTCGAGGCCTCTTTGGGGCCTCCTTGTGCCTGCCGAGAGCCTTTGGGGGCTGCTGGGGGGCCTCCTAGGCGCCTCTTTAGCCATCTTAGGGCGTTCCTGACCCGTCCGATGCCGTCCGAAGCCGTCTTGGGGGCCTCTTCGGGCCGTCTTCGGGCCCTCTTGAATCGCTTCAAGGCCGTCTGGGAGACCATCCTGGGCATCTGGAAGGCGTCTTGTGCCGTCTTGGAGCCCTCTCGGGGGCGTCTTGGGGGCCTCTTGGGTCGTCATGGGGCCATCTTGGAAGCCTCTTGAGCGATTTTCGGGCGATCTTGGGGGCTTCTGGGGCCGTCTTAAGCCGTCGGAAGGCCGACAAGGAGCAAATACCAAAATCATTCAAAAACCTAAGGATGGTTGTGGCGACCACGTGATTGCTCTGCTGGCCTGTCGCCGCCGAGTCCGCTCAAGCTTCAGCGCGCTCGGGCCCCGCTGCCAGATGCTGGTGGAGGGCCTCCTCTGCGCGGCCCTGGCGGAGGCTGGGCCCGGCGTGCTGCGAGAGCTGGCGCGCGGGGCGGCCGCGGAGGCGGTGCGGGTGGCTTTCTCGGGGCAGGCGTGCGCGCCGTGCCCCGATTGCCGCCTTCCGCCCTGCCCAGCCTGCCCGGGCTGTCCGCCGCCGCAGCCCTGCCCAGGCCCGGCGGACTCGGAGGCGGGGCTGCCCGCCTGGGCCGTGGCGGTAGCGCCGCCGGAGGGAGCTCCCTTGGCGTGGCCGTTCTGGCTGGTGCTGGTGCTGCTGGCGTTCCTGGCGGGACGGTGGAGCGCGGCGCCTCGGGCATCCCCTCGTCCTGTGGCCGCACGTGAGCATGTCGACCTACGAGGAGCGCCGCCCAGGAGCCCGCTTGCTCGTGAATTTCGCTGGCGATGAGTGGACCCACGAGCGGCTCCTACTCTGGCCCGTCCACCGTGACCGCCGCCACGAGTGCTAGGTCTAGGTGGTGGAGACGCCTGACGGCGACCGCTACGTGGAGCGGAAGGCGGACTGGCGCTGGCACGTCCCGCTGGCCCACGGCTGGCCCGAGGGCTTCCGCGGCGACGTGGTCAGGTCCGAGGGAGAGCTCACCCGCGAGGTGCTCCGCCAGATGGTGCTGGAGGGTCGCGAGCTCGCGCGCGAGGAGCGCCGCGGGCGACGCTTGCCCGCGGGGCTTGGCGGCCACCTCGCGGAGGAGCCGAGCACGATGGTGGATTGGCATGGCGACGAGTGCGGCCTGGACACTGGATTGCTCGATGGCGCGAGGCGACGGCCCAGGGGCAAGCGCGACCTCACGAGCGCCCCGAGGGCCCCCGAGGCTCCTGGCGACGAGGAGGCGACGCGCACCGCCTTGGGCCCACCCCCGCTGGAGGACGCCGAGACGGTGCTGCTGGTGGCGGAGGTGCACGCTGGTGGCGGACTGCAGCTCGGCGATGAGGTTGCGGCAGCCTCTGGCGACGTCGCGGCGGGGTCGAAGGTGATCGGCAGCCGTCCCGACGGACGCCCCGTGCTGTGCGAGCGGGTCTCGGTCGGTGACGTGGCCACCTGGCGCGCCGATCGGCGAGCGCCAATGCTGGCCGGGTGGCTGAGCGGGGTGCTCTGGTCGACGCCGCGCCGCCCGCCGCCGGGGCACCCCTCGACCTCCGCGACCTGGCCCGCGCGGAGCCCACCGGAGTAGGAGGCGCCGACGCTCCTCGAGATGATGGCGGCGACGCCGCCAGCCGCGAGGACGTCCGGGCCCTCTCGGTGGAGTGGAACGAGCAGGGAACCCGCTTCAAGGAGTGCCGCCAGGCGGTCGGGGAGAGCTGCGAGGAGCCGCTGGACGGCTGCGAGCTCCGCGGCGCTGGCACCGCGCTCCACCTCTGCCAGCGATTCACGCAGCACCGCGGCGACCCGAAGACGTGGATGTCGAACTTCTGCGGGGAGTGCGGGATCGGCCAGCGCGACCGCGCATGGCATGAGCTGAACTGTCTGGTGACCATCTTCTGGTTGGCGGGGACCTGCGACGCGGCGAAACTCGGCGGGCTGGCCAGCCTGGAGGTTGCCGCGAGGCGGGTCGCCCAGATCACCGAGGCCCATCGGGTCGCGCCAGGGCAGCCCGCTGCTTGGGGGACAGGCCGCTTCATGACGGGCACTGGCGAACCCTTCGACGTGGTCTCGCCCGAGCCGCGGAGCTTCGGGAACCGCGCGGCTCGCGATGAAGCAGACCGCCTGACGGCGCTCGGCCGCGGCAGGGCGCTGGCTGCGGGCGGGCGCGGCGCCGGCGGCATCGAGGATGTGGCAGGCGCGTTGGAGACGGGAGGGTTTCCCCGCGCCGGCGCTGAGGACGGCGCAGGCAGAGGCGGCGGTCGAGGGCGCGGGC